TAGGTTTTAACTACATGTATGTATGCACATAAATAACTAGCCCTGTATTGATATATTGTGTGCAAAATTTGAAAATTTACTCTATGATAACTAAAACATCCAGCACAAAATAACTAGAACCAAACGAAAAGCACGTATCAAAACTATCGGGAAAGATAATTACGTTGCAAGCTATTAAGCCATATAATTGTAAGGTGCCTTTTTTTTTCCTCATGAATGCATATCATACCAAAATCAGTATGAAAATCACAAAGCATAAACGTCACAAAAAAGGAAAAATCAGACACGAACGTGTCACTACATATAGAACAGCGTTTTGGACTAAATGAACAACTAATAAAGGAAGTGGCTTGAATATGTTACTCTTATTATCTCTCCGCCATCTTGAATTTAGAGGTCAAAAGACAGTATAAAAAGTGACGGTCAGGTCATGAATGTGTTTCATACGGATAAACTCTCGAGACACCTCGGTTAAGCCCTGGTCACAACCCGCCGTACGTGCTTCTGCGTGCTGTCTACGTGCAAAAACGTGGGCAAACGTAGGGCATCCGTGCGTGGTGAGTACCGCCTCCGTACGGAATCCTACGGATTTGGGAGCACGCAGACACGCCGTAGAACTTTAAGTGCATGTAAAACTTTTTCTGCGTGCGGTCTGCGGATTCACCACCCGTACGTGCGAGTACGAGCGACGCGTGTGCCCCGTACGTACCGTACGAAAGTCGCACGTGTGAGTACGGCCTCCTTTAATACGGTAAAGTTGCAATCGCACAGCTATCGTACGTTGTAAGCACGTACAACTCACTTACCACTTGCGCAACGAACGATGCACGCAACCACTCACGTCCAGACTTGGCGTGCAGACCACACTCTTAAACCTTGCGCAACCGTGCGAGTGACGTGCGTAGACGCCACTCCTTCCCCACGTTTTCAGAAAAAACGTAGCAGACGTAGCCTCCCAAAAAACGTACGGACAAAAAACACGTACGGCGGGTTGTGACCAAGGCTTTACGCGTCACATGATAACAGCTATCTAGGTATTTGCAGAATTTCTACACAATACAAGAGAATACAATTATTCTTAGGCCAATGATGAATATTGCTGCAAAGTAATGGAAACTTCAAAGACGCCGGACAGTTGAATGAAAATTGCGTAGGTTGAACAGAAAAGTAGTTATACATTTTTCGACCAGATTCGCGGCAACTGTGGGGTTAGCTTATAACAAACAAACAACAATTTTACTACTAAAATCAAAGAACCCACATATTATAGAAGAAGTGGGCAAATTCGTCTTCCATTGCCTAAAAAGAAGAAGTCAAACCCAGTAAAACTAGTACTATGTATGTTGTAGAATATAGTATAATGCTAGACGTAGATATAGTCTCACATACCACTGTATTTTCTTTCTATGTTGTTTGTAACTGCAATTAGCCCTCGGGCAAGTATTTACAATAAACTTTCATTATAACGAGCTGTAGTAATAGTGACGTGAGTTAACTTTCTATTTGGTAAGTTGGCAATGCTAAAATGATTTTGAAAGCTTCTGAGATTGAGATAATGATACAAGGTACTTAGCCAAGCTGGAATAGTACATTGAGTATGTTATGTATCTGATAAGCCGGCAAATGACGTAAGAATCAAATTAATTCGCGGGTACTTAAAATATCAAATTTGCTTAGGTTGGGTAGTTCGTTACGTATCGTGTCTGTGAATAGCAATGTTGTAATGGTTTTTAGGTGTTTTTGATAACGATAAAAGGTACTTGAACACCAAAAGCGAGTCCTGGCATGACCTCTCATTCCAACCTGACGTCATTAGGCGGAAGATCACGCGAAACCACGCAAAACCACGCGACACTTCAACACGACCTGTCACACATTCATGACAGACTTGCCCCCGACCACCAGCCAACCAAGGTGGACTGAAGTATGGGAGCAGAATGACCAGGTTTAGACCACCACCCTTCGATACAAATCGAATGGAATATGAGTTAAATTTGAGTAAAATTTGACCCCAGCCCGAACACGCCGAGCTAAGGCTGTGATCACATTTCCAAACCGGGGCCCGTCCGGGCAGTCCTATGGAACTAAAAGTGTGATATAAAAGACAACAAAGCATAGAAAAATTTTTTTAAAAATGAATAATGGAAACTATCTGCGTATATTTTTAATATAAATTTTTGATTTTTTGGTAATCGAAACAGCCCGGTCGGCAAACAATGTTTTAAACATTTTGAAACGTTCGGTTGGCACAGCCGAACAGTAGCCGACCTGGCCGACCTTGCTCCCGACCTACTCCTAACCATGGTTCTGCTAGTGTTCGGGGGCCAAACTCGTCCATGTATGACAGAGGCTTAAACATATTCAGGGTTACATATTCTGGTCTTCTCAACACCCTCAGAACTTTGACAATAAATGTATGTGTAATGACCTAGGTACGGCAGACTTATGTTAGATATGTAGAGATTATTTCAAACGCTTTAGCCGTAATATAATTAACCTGCAAAACGTTATCCGGCAAGAACACATTGGAGTAAGGCCACGGCACCCTGGTACGCTAATCGCGACCATTATAACATGACACAGCCGTCTTTTATCGTTGACGTTTTATAAAGTGCCTTCCCAAACCATCATGTTTTAAAGGCTTAGCGCCGTGTTCGATTTGCGTAGTTGTTAAGGCCACACCAAGTAAATTTTATGGATGACGTCCTTTGGAGACCCTAAATCTAATGCGAGAGGGCGAAAAAAAAAACAAGAAAAGCCCTGAAAAACAAAATGCCTAGATTAGAAATGTACCAAGAGACGACAAATGTTAGGACACAACTTGAATGAGGTGACACAGTGTAACAAGCAAGAAGTCGTTTATTCATCATCAAAAAAGCAATGAATCAGGTGGAACAGCAGTTATCGCCCTTTCCTGTTTCTTTCATCACATTTTGCAGGCCTGCAGAAACAAAGCATTTGCTTTTTACCCATTTCGCGTTACGGGTTTCACGTCAATCTAACGATTTGTGGCACTGTCGTGACTCTTTGGTCATAGTTACAGGAAGTTCTTGGGTTTTTTTCTAGGAACAGGCCAAAATCAATGCGCGCGGACATCCATAAAATTTACTTGGTGTGTCCTAATGGCTTCAAACTTTGAGATGCACGAGCTAGTCACTTGAGGGTCGTTAAATTCTGGTTCGTAGCTTAATTTCTAATGCATTTCCCTGTTAAACGGTTAAGGTAGAGGCCGTGTGAGGCGACACGTTTGCTATTTCTGTAGCAAGATTGACAGACTAGATAGAGATGATTGCGGCAGTGGTAACGTAATTGGGGCAATTTGTGGCACTTTGAAATCTTGTTAGTCGCAATATAAAAAAAAACTATTGCGAAGGCGTTTTAAATTAGTATAATATTCTTTTATTTTTAGAAAATGCAATTTTCGTGGGAGCACGCGCTACATTTGGTAAACGTTTGCAAAGAAGTGAAAAGTTCAAACTTGCCAGCAAAAAAAAACTGATTTATAGTTGGCTCTGCTTGGAGAGAAATACTGCCCATATCTCACGGTCCCAGCTTCGTGATGTATTCCAGCGGTTCTTACCGGCTGTTTCGCTCGATCTGACTGCGTTACTCATACAGTTATCTTATTGTTCGTCTCACTATCACAGTCACGACAGTGATGCACTGTCGGGGTTTTATCAGTATAGTCTGGTATCCAGTCTAATTCGTGGTCGGGGCCGAAAGAGCTCTGTCCCGCCCGCCTCACATAGGTTTCACGAGAGATTGATTAGCCCTCCACAAACATCGTGTTGGGGGGAACCAAATCCCCAAGCATATTGTCTCTTATTAGCGTAACACTCCTACCGGGACGGCCTGTTGCACTGGGCGGGGGAAGCTATTAGAGCCCCCGAAGGCACAACCTGAACAAACACCCCCAATACCCCCAATCACGTAAGACTGGATACCAGGCTAGGAAATGGCATGCACTACTAAGTATGTAATCGGAGGCGCATGCTGTGTATGCTTCTAGTTATGAATCCTCGTGAAAAATTACGGTCGTATGGCTTTAGCACTGGGGCAGGGGGTTGTTAATCCACTGTGTCTTGAAAGACGAAGCCCATACTTACTCATTTTACCGCCTTTTACCTCCCCAACCGAAGTCAGGTCCAACCATGTAGACATGGCGGTCGTGTGAAGAGATATTGTATGGCGGATTATATCCCAGTGGTTAGGCCAGCGGGAATGCATATGAAATACGAGAGGTCGTGAGTTCGATCCCTGATACACTGGGCCAGATGCTGCGTTCTTGATACGTACACTTCGTAATCTCCAAGCGGATACCTTTGGGGAGCAAGGCGGTATCAAATTGGTCAGGCAGTTACCATTAGCCTACGGATACGGCCTTGCCCCCGAAGGAATCTGCTGGGAATCGAACTCGTGACCTCTCGTATTTCATGCATGTGCATGCCCACTGGTATAACGACTGGGCCATAGCTGCCACACGATATCTCGGTATGTATGTCTTTGAGAAAATAAAAATTCACAACTAGCCTATTTACAGGAATCACAATATCAAGCCTTTAACATTAGATCTTTGTTGTTTATTTATTTAGGAATCTCCCATTATTGATAATATATAGACATCATTATTCTTCCTGAAGTCCTTTACATAAAATCCAACTATTATTTACATACATATTTAACTGCTATCAAGGATATTATACTACAGGAAAACTTATCTTATCAACATAGTAAATTACGCATTAAGCATCAATTATTACATCAATTGATAATGTTACATTATACAGTTATCAATTAATAATGTTACATTATACAATTAACCAATAAAAAACAATTATGTAATAGATGTCTGAGAGGTCATGAATTTGTACAAAATATATTCAAAACGTTTACCACTAGGAGTTAATTGGTGTGTGTTTGTTTTGATGTGTTTTTGTCGTATTCCAGATTTTTTCTTCAAACTTCTAATCAGTTACTGACTCTGTTTTTTTTTTTCGTAGGATCCCGAAACCCAAGTTGACAGCAAGCGAGCTGCTCTACCGATAGACTCCCTCCTACACGGGGCGGCAGGGATGGACCAGCTCGGCGGGAAGCGCGCAGGGCGGCCCATCGACAACATCATGCACGGATTCCGCCTCCCCATGGCCAGAAGGCGGGATGCAACCGATCACGAAGAAAAGAAAGAAGAAGATGCAGGCAGCAGAAGAGAGCGAGCAGCTCCGATAGATGCTCTATACGGAGGGCTGCTGCCCGGATCCTTGGGGACGAAACGAGCGGCGCCGATCGACTCGATCTACGGCGGGCTGGGCTTGCCCATCAGCGGGAAGCGTGCGCCGCATCCAAACGACTCCATCGACCAGGGCCCGCCAGTGATGGCAGAACGATCGCCCATCGATGCAATCATCAGCGGGGGGCGTGGCCTGCCGATGTCGTACAAACGCGCCGCTCCGATCGACTCCCTCATTGGTGGACACGGGCTGTCAATCACGGGCAAACGGCGTGCCATGGCGCTGCCCATCGACAACATCATCGGCGGGTACGGGCTGCCCATCTCCGTCCGCGTGGGCAACAAAGACCGGCAGCGCGGGGCGGAGTCCGAAAATGACGAGGCGACCTGGCTGCAGTCCATCTGGTAGAAACAAGTATTTCACTCAACTCCATCAGGTTGAGGGCTTAAGCAAGAACATGTATGTGTTAGATGTACTATAAAGGAATCTATAGGGGTGTCTACTCGGCCAGGGTACATGGTAGTACAGGAAAGTTTGATTGATTTGATTTGATTTGATTGACTAAAGTTACTCAAGAGATTAAAGATACAACACATATCAGGAATGGATATCTAGGATAGAATACTGGTTCAAAAATGTATCTGAGAGGCCATTTTTATCTTATATCCGAAAATCACAAGATTTTGGAAAGTGACCTTTTGTCTTAGAGTACTACCAGATTTTAACCAAGATGAACATGTATATTTCGTTATATTAGTCATACTATCTATCAGCGAAATAAGGATATACCTTAACAACCAAACCTTCAAAACTAGCAATATTTGGACACTTTCTCATATGATTTTATAGGAGGTTATTTATAAATAGATGAGATTGATAGAACAGATGAACGTTACGTTGGACATGACATATTTTATTGATGGAGACCAAAAGATAAAGTTCGAAGACGACACAAACCGGTTTAACCAAGAAACTCTGATTAAACGGAGATCCTATCATAATAGATATATACGCCCCATAATGTGAAATGGATTTGATGTAATCCTGTGGTTATAGTGATTGGAATTGGAGTGTAGAATACCTCAGTTACAGTAACATTAAATGCAGATACATCATGACACAGCAGATTGGTCAGACGTGTTTTTGTTCATGACTTAGTAGTAAGTAATTTCAGGTAAGCCAGTAAAGTTGGCTGTACATGTGCATTGCTGGATACGTGAGTTGCGAAGAAAGCTGTTTAGTACAAGCTACTAGTAAGAAATTAAAGAACTCAGCTTTTGCTTCAATTGAAAGTTTATTGCAAATTCATACCCGAGGGCTAATTGCAAGAACTTGATAACAACAGTAAACAGTAGAATGATAATAAGTGATGCTCATGCTACACCATATACTAGTATACATTTGTTATTCAATAACGAACCGGGACGAGGGGGATACAAACTCTCATCGCAAGTAGGTAGTGTTATTCTCCTCTGGTAGTGTTATTCTCCTCTGGTTATTTGGCCAAATAGACATGCCAGGGGAGATAAGGAGCACATAACCTCTTTATACCAGGCTTCGGGAGGCGGCTGGATAGAGTAGAAATCGGCCAAATGGAGAGATAACATGCCAGGGGAGTTGGTCCGCTAGAGAGTACAGTTTGCCGCACCCGAAGGCCGCAAATTTAGTCCTGAGCAGACCAACTCCCCTGGCATGTTATCCGTCTACTTGGACAATTTCTACTCTTTCCACACGTTTCAGAAGCCTTTTAGTGGCTGATGATAGCAAAGCTCCAAGCTGATGTTCCAAAGTTGTACAAATTCAAAGCACCAACAGCAAAGCTACGCAATGCACGCTTTACTGGTAATACTACAAAACCCCACATAGCCGACTCTCTGGTACTCGTACATACTCTTGACCATTTCCCGTCCAAGTGGCCTTATAAAAATCCCTTCCAGCATTACACTAACACGTCCAAAGTAATTCCTACACAGTGAAGGATCTTGTCGGTTCAACCCGACATGAATTAGTCCCAAATACGTTCTATTCCTCAGTTCATATGAAGTTTTACCGCACCAAGGACAACAAAACGGTTGCGTGTGCTGCAAAGATAAATAGAAAAGTTTTGTAAAATGGCTTACTTCCTTTGCACTAAAGTGCATAGGAAGCAAGTCATTTCATATCTTCCTAGATCCCTTCATAGCCCCGATAAAACTGGCCCAAGCCTCACCCTGTAAACCGTTCGCCTGCAACTGTAAAGATAAGGCCCCATATTGAAAACTTTTACCCGGTAGTCCGGTCGGAGTGACCAATTTTGTCCAACTAATCCATACGAAGCAAACTTCTACACACATTGGCCTTACTATGGCCTTAGTTAACGGTGCCCGTGTAATTCATGCCGATTTTGTTTCTTATCCTGACAAAGCCATTTGCCCTTTCGGGTGTTAAGTTTAGGAGCCTAAGTTTAAAGCCTTAAGCTTTTTAAAGGCCCCTGCAGTTCAAATATCACGCCGACCATGAAATAGCAACAAAAAAATACGCCTTTGTTTTGAAGGCAGCGCAAAAATCTCAGCATTTACCACCTTCTGTGTGTTCTTTTTTTTTTTCATAAATTTCCCCAATGCATGGACGCGTGACTCTAGTACTTAACTGGATTGAATTGGTCCTTCTGCTCCCCTTACAAAGTAATCCTTCACTACCACGGTAGATACATGTCCGTCAACGCTTGTCCTCTTCTACATTTTTTAAAATAATTTCCAACATGTAATCACAAGACGTGGTGACGGCACACTCAAGTTTTTCAAACTTATATTAATGCAGCCACCAACACAGGGGACAAGACAATACTCATTTTCACCTGAGCGAAGTGAGGAAAGTCGTGTAAAGTGCCTTTCCCAAGGGCACAGGATCGGTGGCATGTCAGGACTCGAACCCGGGACCTATAGGTTCCAAGTCGCGCACTCTACCGCTACGCCACACGCCCCCTCTTCTACATGTACTAGGTACCAGTAAACCTCAGACTTATGCGATCGCGAAGCATGATACTAGTAGTGCACTATTTTATTTTTATTTAGTTATTTTCTGCACTACTCAGTGGCTTGTCACTGCTTTACAGAGTGTCCCTGGGTACAAATATACAAGACAAGACGGAATAAAACATCAATATCACAATCGTAATCCATAATCGTAAGGGTAGAAAGTCAGAGTTCACGCGACTGTGCACACACTGTTATAAGAAGTTTATTGCAAATTCGTGCCCGGAGGCTAATTTCAAATTACGAACATAAAAGAACAATGAAACAGAGTATAAAATAACTAAAATATACATGATAAAAGGTATTCGAATGATGAAAGGTAGTTGTCTAAAGCTATAGATATGTCTAAAACTATGTCTGAAGGGTTTGACTTCTCTTCTTTAAACCATGGAAGACGTAATGTCCCACCTTTTTCAAAATAAGTGGGTTTTGGGAAGTTAAAATAAGAATAGTTTTTTCTTTGTCTGTAAGTTTAGTAAAATTAGGATAAATTGTACAAGTTTGAATCGTCAACTCATTTCGCATTTCGAGCGTTGCTATGAAAGGAACAATTTGAGATAAAGTGTATTTCGTCTTTCACAGCCTTTGCACTACAATATTCCTTGAATAGTCCTTCAAAATAGTATTTTGAAGGACTGTATAGATGATGCGGTTCTAACAACGGGTGGGCGTTTATTCCAACCCTCTGGACTTCTATTAGTAAACGTTCTTTTGCCGCATTCTACTCTTTGTGGAGTCGCAAGGACTGATATAAACTGTGTCGAGTGGCACTACGGACTCGCCACGGCTAATGTGTTCCAGGAATCACACCAGGTCACCCCACTCTTCTCAGTAAGTGTAGTCAGGAGTGGATGATCATTTGTCCCGAGAGAGGTCGTTGAAAAGATCGACGATAAGGTTTTACGAGGACTGGTCAATAAAGATTTCGCTTGACCCATTTCTGGTTACAGGAAACTGAAATTACACGTGTGTAATTATGATACTCATCTCCATAAGCCACATAACGTTATACCGCTTTTCAGTTCTGAATTCTTGGCAGCGTTCTTTAAAAGCTTATAAAATATACAGAGTGAGGTCTGATTGTGGATCCAGATGAATTCAGTTCCAAGGTCCTTAATACGTTTTGTTTTGGGGGTTCATGAAACTTTTCGAAGACTAATTTTCTACAAAGTGGAATGGGATGTAATAGCTCAATTGGTAGAGTGCTCGCTTTGTAACCGGGAGGTCGTGAGTTCAAACCCCGGCCGGGTCATACCAAAGACTTTAAAAATGGTACACTTCTTTCTCTGCTTAGCACTCAGCACATATGAGAAAGAGTGTGGGAAGGTCAAACACACAGCACTACCAGCGGACCAGCCCCCTGCTGTAGTGCCTTGCACAACTGTGTGTCGCCAAAAGGGCTACGATAATGGACATGGGCACCAAAACCCTATGCTCTGCATGGAGCACGGGTAGACCTTTGGAATGGGATTCGGGTCATGTAAGAAGAACTGTGCCAAATTCCGTTCCTTTTTGTCTTTCAGTCTACAAATATTTGTATACAAAGCGTGATCAATACCTCTAAATTTATCCAGCTTCACTATCGCAGCTTATTCAACAAAATCCAACTAGCTAGGCATGTTGCTTATAGGGATGTGTGTCACTATACAGGTGAAATAACCAGAAGTGCTCCATGCCAAATCTCTAGTGAACCGCCGTCGTATCTACAATCCGTACGTTAGAATGGAGATAAGGGAGTACAAGCAATCAACCGGTGGCCCCACATCATCATCAAGAGACGACTGAGTCAGGGGGGACCATAGTCCCGTACAGATTACCACAGGTACACAATCAATCTAGCTATTACGTCTTGTTTTGGAAGCTCTGGAATTTTCATTCCTCAGCTCTTAGAGATATAAAGCTCGCAGGGGGAGACATTGTATCAGCCTACTCAGCTTACTTAGGGGAGACCTGAAGCGCAGAGAGCTAGGCCCTCCCTAGGCCCTCCCTAGGCCCAACAGAAAAGAAACTCAAGGAGCTTACTATAATAAAGAGCTCGCGAGGCAGAAGACACGGTGGAAAGAGATGAAAAAAGACTGAATGCGGCTACAGGACATTTCCATACGACTGTTGACGCAGAACACAGTGGATGATGATGATGATGATTTCGTCTTGTAAAACACGTCTAAAACTCAACACTCAGTCGAGCTCACTCGATGCCATTCCATCACTCTGACTCTTAAAGGACTTCTAAACCTCAACACTGGTGGGGTCGTGTGGCGTAGCGGCAGAGTGCTCGACTCAGAACCTAGAGGTCCCGGGTTTGAGTCCTGACATGCCACCAATCTTGTGCATTTGGGAAAGGCACTTTACACGACTTTCCTCACTTCGCTCAGGTGAAAATGAGTATTGTCCTGTCATGCATTTGTCCCGTGTCGGAGGCGGCATTAATATAAGTTGAAAAAACTTGAGTGTACCGTCACCATGTCTGGTGATTACATGTTGGAGTAAAAAGAAAACAACTCAACACTA